CTGCGAGAGATAATAAGAAATGATACGTTCCATTGATGGAAGCAAAAAAGACCAAAACAGCAAATCTTGGCAAACACACTATAAGTCTAGATAATTTGTAGCTCTACCAACAGAAGAAGCCCAAGCATCTATTTCCATCTATTTCGATCTTGTGCCTCTTGCATTCAATTCCTATGACAACGTTTTAGATCGTCAGTCCAACGTGTTGGTGGACGACCTCTGCTTCGGAAGGCATCATCTCTTGGTCTCCATTCCAGTATACGCTTTGTCCATCTATTATCTGTCATTCGAGCCACGTGACCTGCCCAGTTCCATTTCAGTGTTGCTACTCTCTCTACTGCATCAGTCACTCCTGTTCTTTGTTGAAAATTTATTAATTGATGTTTATTTTCAGGAAAACCAAAAAAACAATACTAATAAATAAATAGCAAGCAATTTCAGTTCGATGATACGTCACTAGAGAAAGCAGGAAAAGAGCTCGTCACGCTAGCCTGCATTGATTGGGTTAGGATATCGTATTGGAGTTCTTGTACCCAAGACTTCCACACGAAAAGCATTTGGCTGATAGTTGTGCCTCTATCGCGCATCAGAGTGCTATAGGGGAGAAAGGGGTGGTCTGGAGTATTGGAGCACGGTGGAGTGGTTCCTGATAACACGAATCAATACACCTCGCTCCAATGAATTGTAACACCTGAATGTCATTCTAAGGAGATGTGCAAGTCTCTCACTGGTTTAATCAAATTGCTTGTGTTTATTGTCATAAAAATACCACACGCAATGACAGCCATAACTCAGTCGTTGGGTACTGGTTTACTAAGCCGGATGACCCGGGTTCGATTCCGACACGAGCAACAGAAATTTTTCAATTTCTAGTTTAAGTCAACTGCCACCGTGCTTTGGAGTGAACGTAGATCTGTCGGTTCCGGCTACGTAAGTAGTCGTTGACACTAAAACCTGTCTCCAATGGGGCTCAATACAGTCGAAATCGAGCCTTCGTCTGCTCCAAACTGTGCCTCCAACATTTTCGATCCCGCGACGTTCTTCTCCAAGTTGCCAGGTTTACAGAAATTAAAAAGTATATACATTTGGCAGACAATACTAAACTCAACAAAATTGATAAAATGTCTAAACTATGACCGCTTATCGATTTACTGAATGCTAAGTTTCAACAATGGGTCATTTTTCATGAAAATTTATCCATCGATGAGGCAATGGTCAAATACTTTGGTCACCATTCGGCGAAGCAATTTATCAAATCAAAGCCCGTACGTTTTCGCTACAAGGATTGGACGTTGTGCAGTTCTACTGGCTACTGCGGAGCTAAGCCATAAGATCACAAGTTGTTTTAGACCTCTTGAGTATTATTTCAGTTCCAACTTATCACATAATATTTTGCGAGTTATGAACTTTTAGTGACATTGAAACAAAAAAGTATCAGAGCTACGGGCACAGTTCGTGATAATCGTATCAAACATATGTCCTCTTATACAACGCAAAGAGATGAAGAAAAAGATCGCGGATATTATGATCATTGCTACGATAAAGAAAGTGCTATATTATTTGTAAGATGGAACGACAACAGTGCTGTAACCATGGATACCAATTACGATACCATAGAGCCCCTTGCACAAGTGAAGCGTTGGTGTGCAAAACAAAAGAAAAAGTAGCAGTGTCACAACCTCAGTTATTCAAATCCTACAAGTTATCAATGGGGGTGTGGACTTACTCGATCAAGGGGTAAATAATTACAGAATCGGCATACATGGAAAAATGTTGGTGAGTACTCTTTACCCATATGATAAATGTGACAGTTGTCAACGCGTGGAAACTATATAGGATTACAAATGAAAATGGCAAAATAGATTTGCTACTATTTCAAAGAAATATTGTCCGCCATTACTGCAGAGCTTTCAACAAAGCCATACAAAGACAATCCACATCTATCAAACCATCTGGTTCGCTGCCAAAGAGTATACTGGATACTCCTGATGGCCATTTTCCTAAAAGAACCACCAACTCTCGAAGATGTCGCCAATGCCACATGAGAGTTAGAGAGATGCATGAAAAATGCAATGTTAACTCTTTGCACTGACCAGAGAGTGTTTTAAAATATGTCACTCATAATTAATTATGTGTTTTTTTTATGTATATGTATGTATTTTTAATAAATGTTTCCTTGGTCTGTATGCATTTTTATGTTTATTATTTCTACTGGTTATATATAATTATGTTTTATATATTTTATACTGATTGTCCCAGTGTACCTGCTTGGGTGTACCATTTTTTTTTCAAAAACCAAATAAAAAAAAGTTAAAATATTTTTTTATATAATTATGATCATAATTAAAAGCAACTCCTAAAGGATTTAGGTATTTTTAGTTTCTCTTTTGGCGGTGGGCATTAATGGGTTAATCATAACATAGGAATGTTAACAAAGTGATAAATTATTTGAATGAAAAGTATTCAAGTTCTATTTGTAGTGAAAATTATTGTTTGAAAAACCATATATAATATTACTCTGATAATTGTAAAATTACCAAAAAAAAAAGTTAAAAGACCCAAAGAAAATTTTGTTCAAAAATTTTTAGGTATTTTTGTTTATAAGTTTTTTATTTTCCAATTTACAATTAAAAGTAATAGAAATAAAGTTGTAGACAATTTAATTTGCTACAAATAATGTTTGATAACATTTTCTATAGGGTTACTAGTTTACGAGATAAAGCGTGAAAACCTTTTGCACATCTTTTTCCAAGATGGCGGCCGGGGGACAAGCGTGCGATCCCACAAACTTGAACTTAAACATATTACTCACGTAACACATCAAAAAAAGAAAATTGCGTCCTCTCAAAATTGCAACCTTAATGTAATTTAAGGTATTTGAGTAATGTAAATCAACAGTGTATACATGAAAACCATACTCAAAGACCACAAAAACTAAATGTATGGTTTGTTATAATACGTACTCAGTTTTTTATAGAAGGAAATTTAACAACCGATAATCAACAAATGCTACTTAGAAATGAAATGCGCTTAAAATTAAATTTGGAGCCAATTTTAATGCTATATGGTTTCAGCAAGACGGAGCTCCAGCTCATTTTGTATTGAGTATTGAATGACCTCCTCGTTTACCTGATTTGAATCCTAAATATTATTTTGATTGCAGATACGTTATATCGGTATTATGGAATATTGATTTAAATTACATAGTAACATCGTATTATATCGAAACTACCAAACTCGCTCAACGCTCATAATAGTTTATGTAGCATTTGATTTAGCAATTCGATCATAATTATTAAACAGTTTTCCACTTTTTGATCAATTTCATTTCATTAAATAGACTCTATCGATTTGATTAATATTATTCTAATTGGACGGACGAATGCTCATTGGATTCTACAGAAAAACCCCTAGCAATCAATCTGTTAATTATCACAAACGTGTTCCGGAATGTTTTCTTGATAATAAAAAAGCAGCGCCATCGTTTTTCCTTTAAATAAAACCAATCCCGACCAAAATGAGTTTACACTTTTTTCGTAAGATTCTCAAATCGATACATAAACGCCGAGCTGACAATATTTCTTATAAAAAAATGCATCTAGCTAACGGAAATTTTAGTTTTGTTGACTTATCTGATGAATTATGGAGAATGAAAATCAATGAACACTTAGTAAACCTTTTGTTTTTTGCTTCATCCTATTATTCGCAGTTCCGTCGTATGCTTACTGTTTCTGCTTTCTATCCCGGTGTTTTTTTATTGTGACAAAAGTGTTGGAGTTGTTCTTTTATGTTGTATATACTTTTTTTGTAGTTATTTTATACAGATGAACGCTTCAGGTGCAGTGAAAGTAGACCGTAGTATTTTTATTGGCTTTAATATTTTCGGTGCACATTTAATACATAGATAAGACTTTACATGAGATATAAATTACATTAGGGAGAGATAAATACTTTTCTTTTTGTTTAGAAGCTTTGTTTCTTAACAATCATCATATCATCAAGTACATATTAGCAGCGTTTGTTCGTTATTTTACGATATACTGATGTTATGCATGATTTAAACTCATGTAAATATTAAGTATATAAACAATTTTTTCACCATGGTATTCTATGGTGTGAGTCTTGTGTTTGATTTAAAATCACTGTCTTTCCTTGCATAATAATGGGTCTGTTCCCAAAGTATAATATTTAAGTTCCTAACTTCGCAATGATTAAAAAATCTAATATGTATATGATAACCATTTTCTAATCTCCTCACACTGACATTTTTACATTTGTTTATTTTTTGTTGTTTCCTTTTTTTATAAATAAGTTTAATTTTCTTTCTGTTACATAAATATCAATAATGATAATATCTGTACACCATATACAAGTTGTTTGCACAGTTGAACCTCAGGTCCAGATCAGATATATGTAGAGATGATAAAATTTATTCATGAAGAAAATCTTTAGTCCTTAACACTACTATTTAACGTAATATATACCACTGGAATCTTCTCAGAAATATATATATATATATATATTATATATATATATATATATATATATATATATATTATATTATATAATGGTATATATCGGTAATATATCGATATAATGGTTTCTCTTTAAGATACAGCAAATATGTCATCGATTTTTAAAAAATACTCAACTTCATCTCTTATTTGAATCCCTGCAATGACGATGTGTGCCTTCTTACGTATTTTTCTTTAATTGGTACTTTATTTTGTAGATAATTTAATAATATTTTGTAGATAATTTTGTTGAATAATTTTTTACCTTTAATTTACAATAATGACTATAAGCAAATGTGCTTGGTTGTATAGTAACTTCCAGCCACTTCCAGTCGATCTCAAAATTTGACCAACATTGCACAATATTAATTGCTACATTTACTGGACAGTTTGATTGAGTTCAATGAATAGAGCATATCACAATAGAAGTACACCTAAGGAAATGTACATAAGAAGAAAAAAATGTATTGCTCTAGGTTGACTTACCCAATCCAGTCTTTTCTTTGAAGAGTAATGGCGTACTGAAGCCATGTCTTTGGAAATATGCGACGTTTAGTTCGCTGCCATGCATTTCTTTGACAATATTGTGTGACGCGAAAGCAGGGTCTTCGAGTTTTTCTTGTAGATTGAAGGTCCGAAGACCTTCTATATCTTCTTCGCCTACGGCCCAGTCTTCGGAATATAGTTTCTTTTGTTTTCTTTCTCTCTGTAACAAATAATAACAGTGATCAAATACAAATAGAAAAACTGAAAACTCGATAAATTTAAATAACTGTATCCTGAATTTGGAGTCCATAAGTAAATTCAAAAACTGTAATACAAAGGTTAACTCACGGACACCACAAACCCAGGAATTAAAAAAGTTTCTAAATATACAAAAATTCACAATCAGGAAATAACAAACAATATACATGATTCTCGATTTATAAATTTAGAATAATCTTTTAGAAGTTAAATATGCAGGAATGTTTTAAAATTGAGATATAAATGAGAATATATTGTACTAGAGTGAAAAGTGCGTTATAGTAATTAAAGTGATTTCAAGAACGGTTAATCTCTAATAGATTTGAAGGGACAAATGCAGGTGTAAGTATTTTACGAAACATAGAACATTGAAAATAAAAATGAGGTTTCGGATTCTCCTAGTATTAAAATTTATTTGTAAGCGGTTGTAACCGTAGATAAGTAGGAAATATTAAAGTATTAGTAAGCATACATTGTTCAGAATAAGAAAGTTAGATAATTTCTTTTCTAGGCAGATGAAACAATAGATTTTCGATTTTAGTTATTCCAAATGGTCCTAGGATGACGTAGATTTTGTATCAACAAGTAAACCAGCAGATAGATTTATTTGTATGTGTCATATATCCATTAAGTATAGTGTTTAGAAAAAAAATTGTTAAAATCCTTTATAAAAGGTATATAAAAATGCCCCAAACGGGCTATCACAAACACATTGCAAAACTTTTCGGATTAAACAATCCATCATCAGTGCAAACGATTGTACATGCTAGTAGCCACCAAAATATATGGGTCAAAACCCTTTAAATGTTTTAAATTTGTAGTTTTTTTACATTATTAGTATTTATAATTTGTCTTCGTCTCAGGACCAATTTACTCATGTAGAGTCATACGCCGCCATGTTACCTATCCAACGGTAACTTAAACATCACAAATTATAAATACTAATAATGTAAAACAACTACAAATTTAAAACATTTAAAGGGTTTTGACCCATATATTTTGATGGCTACTAGCATGTACAACCGTTTGCACTGATGATGGATTGTTTAATCCGAAAACGTTTTGCAATGTGTTTGTGATAGCCCGTTTGGGCATTTTTATATACCTTTTATAAAGGATTTTAACAATTTTTTGTGATATATGGTATACAGCCAGCTACAGGAACTTAGTTTCCTCATGGAATTTATAGTGTTTAGGTCGCCAAGGATTGACAAACGGACAGTGGCTGAAACAGCGGATCACACAACACAAAAGTGACTGCAACAGGAGAAATAAAACATGGGCTGTTGTCGAACATTTTATAAAAACAGGCCAAATAGCTTGATTATAAATAACGTGAAAATAATGGCATTAATAATAAAACAGACAATAGTAATCTTAGTAATACATATTGTAACATTTATAACACTTTATAGTAACGTCAACAATAACATATACTTTATATAATTTTATTTAGGCTTTAATATCAAAGTAAAAAAGGTTAATGTATTTCAAAATTGGTATTAGTAATTATTTTAGTGTAGGTAATTGTGGAAAAGTCCTGTGATGTGCTGATTTTTATTTTAATGATTTCATTCTGTGAATTTTTATTTGTTTGTAAGTATGTTCTATGTAATAATTGTTTTTAATCATAATTGTAGTACACTTAGATGAATCTAATAAATATTAGCACAATATCGAGTTTGACCAGATAATACATCGTTTTATTTTTTGACCGAAAAAACTGATATACCTCTCATTAGTTTTATTAAAAAAAAAAAAAAAAAATACTGATCTGAGACCAGACAAAAATAAAAATACAAAATCATACCATAGAAAATGTTGAACATTATGTATATCTAGTTCATGTCATCAAACTAGGAAAACGCAAAGAGCAATGAACGAATCGTGCTTGGAATATCACTGAGAGACAAGATTAGAAACACCGAGATAAGACGTAGAACGAATATTAGGGATATTTTGGAAGAAAATCTTCTTCTTCGCGTGCCATATCAGAATTATCCGACGTTGACGATCACCATTGCGAAGGCTTCTCGATCTTCTGCAATATGGAATAATTGTCCTGCATGTGGTATCTGAGTCCATTCACGAATGTTTTTAACCAAGAAAATTGTTTTCTTCCTACACCTCTACGGCCCTCTATTTTGCCTTTAAGGATTAGTTGTAATATATTATATCGACTTCCCCTTACTATATGTCCCAGATAAGACAGTTTTCGATGTTTAACAGTCTTTAGCAGTTCTTTATCTTTGTTGACGCTCCTTAGTACTTCTTCATTAGTTTTCCTTGCTGTCTAAGGTATCTTAATCGTCTATGAACCCACTATGAACCCACATTTCCAATTGTCCACACTTCTGCACTATACAAAAGTACGGACCAAACATAGCACTTATCCATTCTTCACCTTAGTTCTAAACTGAAATGGTTATTGCAAAGAAATGACTTCATTTTTATAAAATTAGTTTTAGTCATTGCTATTCTACGTTTTATTTCTATGTCTGGATCTAGTTGGTCCGTTATCACAGTTCCCAAATATGCCTTTTTGTGAACTTTCTCAACTTGGACTCCGTTTAATTGAAGCGTTTGCATCGGGATGTGGGTCACGATCAAACACTAAAAATTTGGTTTTGTTTGAGTTTTATTTTAATGCCCATTTCCTCTCCTACCTCGTGAATACGATCAGGCAGAAGTTGAAGACCTTCAATATTATCTGCTAGAATTACTGTATCGTCTGTATATCTAATCACATTAAGTAGTTCCCCGTTAATTTTTATTCCATACGGTTGTCTCTCAAGTGCCTTTTTAAATAACTGGTCCGAGTAAACATTGAACAATGGCGACAAAATTCATCCTTGTCTGACTCCTCGTTGTATAGAGATTTCATCGGTGTAGTTATCTCCAATTTTTACGATAGCAGTTTGATTCCAGTACAAATTTTTAATGACACGAATATCCTTGTCATCTATTCCGATATTTTTCAGTATTTGCATTAATTTTACATGCTGTACTTTATCGAATGCTTTTTCGAAGTCCACGAAACATGCAAATACATCTTTTACTTGGTCACGGCATTTTTGTAATAGGATGTTAAGCGCAAAAAGTGCTTCCCTGGTTCCCATAGCATTTCTAAAAACCAAATTGGTATCTTCAAGATCTTCTTCGCATTTGCGTCTAATTCTGTTGTGACCTATTCTGAAGAACATTTTAAAAATGTGGCTCATTAGGCTAATTAATCGATATTCTGAGCATTTTCTTGCATTGTGTTTTTTTAGGTATTGCGACAAAAATGGATTTGAGCCAATCTGCGGGAATCACTCCGGTGTTATATATTGAATTAAAAAAGTCTTACTACTACTTTTATGTTATCATTCTCTATTAGTTACAGCAACTCAGTTGGTGTATCATCGACATCACAAGCTTTTCTAATTTTAGCATTATTTATAGCATGTTCTACTTCGCATTTCATATTTTCTGGGCCGTCAGTACAGTTTTGGTAGAATTTAGCAATATTATTCCTGTCATTTTCAAACAACTTTCATATATACAGCTACCATTCTTTTCTTATTTCCTGCTCATTTACAATAATTTTGTTATTATGTCAACGAGTACAGAGGGAACTCGTTTTTTTTAAATATGTTACTCCTTTCGTTTAGTTTTTATGCATATTAGTTTGTTTGCGCAAATAGTGTTTAGATATTACATCCTCCATTTCGTCGCACCTTTCTCTCTTCCATTTGTCTTTGGCTAATTTGATCTCCCTTTTTATTCTTCTCTGCAGGTGTCTCTATTCTGTTACATTAGATTTTATCAGTCGACGTTGTTCCATTAATTTCAAGATGTTGTCTGTCGTCCATTTCGTTTCGAAGTTTCGATTAGATGCAGTCAGCACATTCCTAGAGAGGGGAGGCTTCGATTCTCAGTACCTGTACCTCTACCTCTTTACCTCTTTTAGTTTCAAATCAACTGTAACCATAACTGTTTATCGGGCGATAATAGCTATTGTAAAATATTTATCAGTGTCACATAAGATATCACAGTACAATTCCCGTTATAATTTTGAATATAGAAGTAAATTGCTTCAACAAGCAAAGCGTTGACTCAGGCTAAGTTAGAAGAAATTGTGCGTGCTTATGAGGCTGGTGAGAGTGATGAATATGTCCCTTTAAATAATACAGAATCTGAATGTTTGGGCGAGGGTGAACACAAAGAGCTTAGTGAAAATGAACATTCCTATACCATTATCCTATACCATTCCTATACCAGAATCAGAGGTTAGTGAAGATTCGTAGAAAGAGAGCGATCAAAAAAGAAAAATAGTATATGGAAAAATGGTTTTAAAAGGTGTAAAACTTCGTTTTTCTCAAAGCACACTCGCACAGTTCAGAAAAACACAGTACTTCGTCCACCAGGTCCAAAGACTCATGCTTCAAATACACTAGAAGAGATTCTGACTTGGAAACATTTTTCAGAGACTTGATAATAACTAGATTACTCAATACACAAACCAAGAAATCTGTAAATAATCTACTAAATTTAGTCCAACTGCAAGTTTTACAACTGTTACAAGCAAAGAAGAGATTTTGGCATTATTCGGTCTTATATATGGTTGGTGTTCTAAAAACTAGCTATCTGAGTACCTCGGATTTATGGTCAAAACAATTTGGAATACCAATTTTCAGAGCAACAATGATACAAAAACGCTTTGAATTTTTGATTGTCTTCGTTTTGATGACAAAACAACTAGAGAGGAAAGGAAACGTGATGATAAATTTGCACTCATAATATTTCTTTGGAATGAATTTATTGAAAATGAAGCTAATTACACTCCTGGTGCATTTGTGACAATTGATGAACATATTCTCAGTTTTCGGGGCAGACGTCCTTTTAAAGTTTATATTCCAAATAAACCAGGCAAATATGGAATTAAAATCGTTATGTTGTGTGACTTTGAGACTTTTTATA